CACACAGTTGGCAAAAATCACCACTGCCTCCAAAAAAAGCAGTTTCACACTGTCACCATCTTCTTGCTCCCCCTTCCATGTTATCCATTCTTGGGTGAGCATGGGTCATATAGTTAACTGGAAATACTGAGATTATTCAGTGTGTTTTTTTTCCCCACTAGTTTTAATCTGGGTTAATTTCCCAGTGCAGTTCATTGCCCAACACACAAATATGTAGGCCACCTAAGGTGCAAGATAGGGAAGGGAACAGAGTAGGAGGAAGGTGAGGCCGCTTCTTTCAGTGGCGGTGCTGCCCTAGCTGGCCATACCTTACGGCATATAAGGTATCACCAAAATCAAACATATGCTTATCCCAAAACATCCTGTGAGCATGCTCAAAAAGGACAGAATAAACTCCCTGAACAACTGATACCGCAGATCACCACTGCAGTTGCTGTACACATCAGCCACATCTGCCACATCAAAGACACAACAGCTCGTACATCTGAAAACACACAAGATGTGTCCCCCATCCTCCCACCCAGGTCTCCATTTTTCGAACACATAGCAGCAATTGCTAGCATTTTTCCATCCAGCATAGATAGTTCTAGATTACTGAAAATCAGTAAGCGGAATAATTTATGAAATTTTGCCATTCTGATGAGTTAGATCCATCTCAAATACCCTGGAATTGATAGACTCTAACATTGTTTTGTATCTTGCTGGAACACATTTTTAAGGCAGTAGCATCAAGTAGAACAAGCAACTTTTTTATCCTGTATGCAATAATAGGATTTCTGCTTAGAACTTAACAAAATCTGACTTTGCTGATATACTAATAGAGATTTAATCAGCTCAGTCTAGCTAAATCCTTTTTAAAATGTGTGTAATGACCACTCAGTGTTTAACTCACACTAGGATTGTGAATGAAAGCTACTACAGAAGAAATTTCCAAACGACATCTAATAATTTTCCTCAAAATGGCAGAACATCCATCTGACTTCCACTTTTTGTAAAGTTATCATTGGCATCTGCATACAAATGTAAGTATCACTGTGTTTTCTGGAGGTAGGATTCAAAACTTTCATATTTGGGAGTTAGAGCAATGAATTGGTCACTTAAATTCTGCAATGACTGACTAATCTGGATTGCCATTACTTAACTTCCACTGATCCTATTATGGATTTTAAGATGTGAATGCCATGCTGATCAGAATTATGCAACCTAACCTCCATAATACATCTATATATAATTCTTCTGCCACAGACTCAGAGTCCTGCTACACTCCAGGTCCATTCCCAACCACTTCTTTCATCAGCGACATTCACAGACACACATGAAGACATTTCAAGGAATGGTAAATAAGCTGATTGGGACAAACGTATTCGGGCTCTACATTCAGTTGTAACATATGAGAAATGCTACATGAGAAGTCCCACTTCGTCCAGTAACTATATTTTGTAACACAGAGCTGACTGCTGCCTCATCATACTTACTCCTGGTTAACTGAGCATTTTCAAGTCTAATGTTAGTCACAAAAGCACAAAAGCTGATGAGTTTGGGATGCATACATGTGTGGAAATTACAAAAATACAGAAATTCAGAATACATACTATTTCACTTAGATAGATTTCTTCTTGTATGTTATATGGCTTCCTAATAACATAGGTTGCCTTCATTTTGCTTTAACAGTAACTGTTGCCTCCCCCTTTTCCATTTCAAAGTCCACAGCTGTCAAAATGTTACAGCAGAGCATAGACATATAAATTAGTTTTGGTAAAGCGCAGCTAAAGAGGCACTGGATATGGGAAAACAGCAAATGCAATGTAAAAAATCATTATTTAAAACCATATTTACCCTATTCCATACTGGGCATATCTTGTGTTTAGCTAAGGAGTCACCCCCGTACCTACACGAAAAAGTAAGTACATTTCAGCAGTTCCAGTCAAACCTACCAGTTTTTCTTTTTAGAGGTAACTTTTCCAGGTCATAGGGAGGAAGGCCAGCTTTCAACTCAGGACATTTAAATTGTACAGTTTGTAACGAGAGAAAGCAAAGAGGCACAGAATGTACAAAAAAAGACAAGGCCCCAAAACATGTGGTGCTTGGGACACAAAGTAGTCATTTGTCTGAGGTTTCTGAATGGTGACACATATGCCTAATGCACTTTTGCCTTGTTTGCACAGGCAGGGCTCACATGTACTTCTGAAATGACCACTTGCATTGAAGACACTTGATCATTTAATTCTGCTCAAAAAAATCAAATCTGGAAAGCCCCAAAACCAACTGCTGGTCAGCAAAAGAACACCAGTACTCCAGGACTGTGTTCTTCAACCTCTCTAACCTGGGCAGAGGTAAACAAAAAACGGGATTTCAAAATCGAGATGCAGACCAGTTCAGATTTTCTGTCGTCTTTATGATATTCAGATGATGAGAGAAACTGCTTGCAAGACCTCTGATTCATATACTGCAGCATGACACTGCTTGCAGAAGTCAAACAGCTACCATAAGTGAAGAAGTTGTGGGTCCTTCTCCGCTTACCTCCTTCACGCAGACAAATAAATGTTGCAAGATGAGTTCACATATTGGCAATTGAATACAAATTTTATTCTTAATAAAGACACTCATGAAAACCTTAAGGAGACTGAAATGATTTGAAATTATTTGAGGTATATTACAAAACATACATATATTAATGAACTGCCACTATGAAAATAATTTTTACGTTGAATATATTTAAAGAATTAAAATAAAAAAGGCACACCTAAATTAATGATCTTTTTTGTCATCATCGTGTCTCATTCTTCTGGCGCAGTGAATAGAGCTATACCCCCATCTGACAAACTGAACTGATTCTTAAGCATTCTTATACAGGATCACATTAATCAACTTAACTTATCAAAACATCAACTTACAGAGTGTTAAATATTTCAACTTTGAAGACAGAAGAAAATCAGAAATAAATTTTATTTAGGATCTTTATTTTATTTATTTAGGATCTTTATCAGAGAAAGTATGATAGCAGTTTACTGTAATTGTTCCATTATGTTTATGGTAGAACCCTTTCATAGAAACGTGAAATTTTAATCCATAGGAATACTGCAACAAACATAAACCATCTATAAATGAAATGAGCCTTTCCTTGCCTGCTATGTAAGATAAAAATAGACTGATGTTTAAAATAACATCCTGCAAAATAAAAACCTGACCAAAACTGTATATTCTTAGTGAAAATGAACAATTTCCTTAACAAATACCCTTCAGAAATGCAATACTGACCAGTGTCTGTGCATTCAAACAGATGCTGCAAGTTTATAGTTAGGCCTTCAACGATGTGAGGCACTCCAGGTTCCCTTGAAACAGTGAAAACTCCTTCTCCTGATTTCCCATGTTCCTGTCTCTCCCTTCCTTGGGAAAAACAATTAGCTAATGGTAGTGTGGGAATCAGAGACATTATTATTACCAGGGGATCTTGCCCCATCTTTTTCAAACAGGAAGACAGAACACTCATCACCATTCCTATGGCACCACCACAGTTGGGAAAAAAAAAAAAAATCTCCCAGTTGCATGAAAAAACTAAACGAGATTACAGTTGACAGAGAAGGCTCTGAGAACAGCTGTGAAAAAGCGAGGAAGAACACAAGAAGCTGGAAATAATAAATGTACATTGAGAAAGTGATGTCTCTTACAGCAGCACTACTGGTTTTGGTTCTCCATGAATTTTGGACAATGAAATATATCAGCTGGCAAGCATACATACAAAGACTAAGCAGGAAGAAATCAAAATCCAACTGACAAAACCACAGTATAATCTTTTATTATAACCTAATTTACTTGATGGTCTGACTCATGATTTTTGAGTCTTCGGGGTTTGCAGCACTGCTCCACTTTTTCATCAGATCAAGCAGCACATTTAAAATGTTAAGTTCCTGAAAAGGGATTCGGTTGCTGCTGCTTCTTGATTTCACTGCTTTACCTGGATCAACTACAAATGCTTCCTCTCGATGTGCGCTTAGAAAAAGGACAACTCGGGTTTACACGCACCCTCCCGTGCCGTCACCCACTTAAAACCGCAGAGTTACAGAGTTAAGGAAAAAAGTAGTAAAACAGTGGGAGCCCAGCCCGAATGCGGAGAACGCAGCGCTCAGCCGCGCCCGCCGCGAGCCCCTCGCCGCTGCAGGCGGACGGGCCAGGCCCCTCGCCGCCGGCGGCCCACTCCCTCACACCACTCCCCGGGACGCCCTCCCCGGCCCGCAGCGGCGGTCCGGGGCTCTGCGCGTCCCCGCGCCGTGCCCGGCCCGCCCGCCGCGCTGTCGCTGCGCCCCCGCCCCACGCCGGGCCCGGGGCCCGGGAGCGCCTGCCCCGCGGCCCCCGCGTAAGGCGGAGCGGCGGCGGGGCAGCCGCGTATCCCTCCGCGGCGCCGTGCGTGCGTGTGCGGCAGCGGCGTCTCCGCGGGCCGCGCGTGAGGCAGAGCCAGGGGGAGGGAACTACTTTCAGGAAACTCGGGCGCCGGGCAGTGCCGGGCGCCGCAGGGAAGGCGGCGGCGCGGGCTCGTCTCCTGGCGGGCGCAGGTCAAGGGGATTACTTTCCTCCCCTCGCTCTTCTCTCCGCTCTCCCGCCTCCCTTTCCCCCGTGGTTATTTTGGATCAAGCTGTGGCGGCGGAAGGAGCCTGAAGTCAACGCTTCCGCCCAGTTTTCCTGGGAGGAGGAGGCGGGGGCGGGCGCGAGGAGCCGAGGCGGTGGCAGCGGCCGCTAATGGAGTTGCTGCTGGGGAGGAAGCGCCGCCGCTGAACTTCCCTGCGGGCTTTCTCCCTCTTCTCCCCTTCGTCCTGCGGCCGGGGGCTTCTCTCTCGCCCTGGCAGCTCCACTCCCCCTCCCTCCCCGCGCCTCTCCTCACACAAACAGCCGTGACGCATCCTTGTTCTCCGCCGTCCCCCCCCTTCCCACCCCCAGGCTGGTTTAAAACGCCTCCCTCCCCCCGTCACCAGCCTTCTCCTTGGGGCCGGCGCGTCTTCCCTCCGCAGTGCTCGGCGTCGCTTTGGAGGGGGTGGGAGAGCCCCGCCGAGCTTCTCTGCCCCCCATTTCCCTTTCCCCCCCTTCCCTCCCCGCCTGTCCCGGCCTGTGGCGGCTCCGGTGTCTGGAGGAATTTGTGCCGCCGCCTGCCCCGGCTGTGCGCGGGAGGCGGGAGGGCAGGGAGGGAGGCGGCCGAGCAGCAGGAGGAGGAGAAGGAGGAGGAGGAGGGCAGCAGCGAAGGCGGCTGCAACGGGAGATGAGCTGCAGCGGCAGGACAGTGCGGTGCAGCTTTTTGCGGCAGGGAGCCATCCCTTGTTTCTACAACTCTGTCCCCCTTTAACCGGGAGCAGCTCAAGAACAGAAGATCCGTGGTTGTTGCTGCTGTTTGCACCACTACCTTTACCACCACCATCTCTAAGACAGGGGAAATACGCTGCACCGCCGGACAACAGGATTTCGTGTTTCCAGGATAAAGACCGCTCTCCTCCCCCTCTTCCCCTCCTCTCCCTCACTTCACCGCACGGCCCGTGCCCTGGCCGGGGGCGGCGGACCGGGGGGGTAACAATGGTGAAGTTTCTGGTGAGTTCTGGCTGCGCCCTGGCTGCGTCGGTGCTGCTCCGTGTGCCTGTCGGATCGTGGTGAGGAGAAAATGAGCGAAGAGACGGCGACTTCTAACAACGAGTAAGTGGCCGTGCCCTCACCTCCCCTGCGCCCCGGGATGGGGAGGGGGCTTAGTGCGTCCCTTCGGCTCCGCGCCCCGCGGGGCCTTTGCCCGAGCACGTACGTGTCCTGTCGTACCCCTGCGCGGACTGCGCATTGCTGCTCGCCTTCATGGAAGCCCAGAAGCTCCCTCTTTGTGAAGGAGCTTAGTTTGGAAGAGCTGCGAGCCGGCGGTCAGAAAAGCTTGGTTTAGTTAAAGGCCGATAGAAAACGGTGCAGATAACGATGGTGTCTTGGAGCGGGAGGATGGGTTTAGTATGCCCAGAGAGATATCGGCACGTACCACCTCTGATAATATCCTATTACTTGTAGATATTTCACATGGAAACTAGTGTGTGGGAGCTTCATCCTGCAGGAAACTGCTTCTGAATTTTAATTGGATGAGTCAGTCAGTGTAAATACAGCTTAAACCTACCCTAAAGCTCTTTTTTTTTTTTTTTACTTTTAATGAGCACTTGTGACTTCTTTTTTTATTATTATTATTTTTTTTAAATTTTTTTTATTTCTCCACAGAGAGGAAAGGGACAGTTCAAGGATCTCTTAATATTTTTACTGTGACTGGTTTGGAGGGAATCCAGAGGAGATTGTGTGTGTGTGCGGCTGTATCCCCTTGAATGTAATCTGTCGTTGAAATACATTTTGGGTCGGAGGCGATAAATATTTGTCAGAAAACATCCGAGTTCTTTATGGCATTGAAAAAGGAATATAAAGTATCTTGAAACTTTTCCCGTGATCGGGAAGTTTAGCGTTGATTGCTGCGGTCTGCGAGCCGTAGCGTTACGATTTGCGATGTCGGTGTTTGCTCGGGCTGATTTTATGAATGATGCGGTGACTGCCGCGGCCATGGCGGTGGAGAGGGAGCGCTGCGCCTGTTGTGTCTGGGGGTAGCGGTGAGGGGCAGGGGAGCAGCCAGGCTGCCAGGCAGGGTGCGGACGGGGCTCCTCCGGCAGGAAAAACGGATTTCCGATTTCACTGCCTTCCTCCAGGCAGAGCCTGCACACCTTCCCGTGCGTTCCCCGAAAGGGGCCTTCGGGTCCCCGGGGAGCAGCGAGGGCCGAGCCCGGCGGGGAGCGGGACCCAGCGGGACGGGGCTCGGGGCGCTGCCGCCCGCGGCGCTGAGCGGGCCGGGGCGAACCGGGCCGGGGCAGCCACTGGGCCGCCCGCGGGGCCGGAGCCGGGGCCGCCGCCGCCATGTTTCCTTTTTTTGTGAATCGCTCTCATTTGCATACCACAATCTCCATTCATAAAAAAAAAAAAAATTACAGAAAGAGAATTGCTGTCACCACCGCTGACCTGCGGCGGAACCTGCCCTGCGGAGCTCCCGGAGCGGATGCTCCCGCGCCGAGGACCGGCCTGCGGCCGCGGCCGACAGCGGAAGGTCTCCAGGACCTGCTGTATTAATATGTGCTGTTCGCTGCTTGTTGACACAGTTATGTGGGAAATATCAGCTCGGGGAGGTGCTGGGAGCACGTGATCCGCTCCATTCATAAAATACCTGGCTGTCCATTCACAGTGCAGTACAGTGTCTGCATTCAGCAGCCTCGCAGATCAGACCTGCATGGGAAGGGAGAGGCAGCCAGGCCGGCAGGTTTATCGAAGAAGACAACAGAAAGACGGCCTATGGCTGAGAGCATGGGAAGTCCCTGTAGAAGGGGCTGTGGAGGGAACGAGAAGGCTTATTTTTATGGTTAAAGCTTGTCCTTTTCCTATAAAGGACCATTAATTCAGAAGTACCTTCTCGCTGTACCATCTAAGCTAGGAAGAGTTATATTCAGAAAATGTTGAAATATTTTCCCTTCCAGAAATATTGACCCAGAAATAGAATACTGAAAATCATATTCATTATTATGAACGTGTTTTCAAGACACTATGTTAATTCATTTGGAGTAATTAACATTTTATTAAACAATACTGTCTTAGATATGCAAAATATCAACCTGGTGCAGAAGGAAGTTGGTCATACCTAATGAGGCATCTGAAAATGTTGCCCATTGTGAAATACAGGTGACAGTGAAGACAACTAAATTGACAGAAATAAGCACTGTGTTTCATTTTTGTCTACTTTGAGAATTTTACAGCAGATAAGCAGTCATTTTTCCTTAACCTATGCCATGGCTAAAGGGACCTCTGAAATATCAGAATACTGAAAATGTTTTATTATGGGATAACTTTGATTTTAAATATATTGAAAATTAAAAAGATAATAAAATTGAATTAAATCTACTGATGATGAATCTCTAAAGCAGACAGTGTATTTGTTTGATGTAACTGTTTTGTGGTTGCCAGAATTAAAATGGTGATGTTCGTTGCTCATGAGTACCTATTTCATTATCCTAACAAATTACACTGAGGTTATCCTTAATTATACATTCATGGAGTGGAGGAGGCCTGTTGTTACTGCAGCCTAAGAGAGTACCTGAAATATTACTAACCTTTACTTAATATGAGAAAGGAAAGCTCACATACAGTATTTGGTTTGAGTTTATTCAGCTATAGAATGAAATGTGTATACTCTTACAAAGGACTATAAAGAGTGATTTTTCTCAAATAATAGATTTTTATTCATTTCTACTTCAGTTATTAGAATATTAGGAAAAAAAAAAAAGAAAAATGTTTCTCAGTTGCACTGCTTTTTTTGACAGCATTTTTGGTGAGGCCCGAGTCATCATTTCTCTCTGGTTGCTTTTGCACACAGCACAAGTGTGTCACTTTAAATGGTTGGGAAATTTGATTGAACCTCCAGATAAACCATTTGTGAAAACAGGACAGACCCACAAATTGAAATTGATCATATATTGAAAATTCGTTGTGTTTAATTTTATCAGTATCATTGATGATATCAATGGCCTTGAGCTCATTAACAGATCTTTTGTCATATAAGAGTGAATACGGGTAATTTGCAATGCATTTTCTGTTATTGTGGCTATCGCGAATATTCTGGTAATTGAACATTTGTTTATAAAACTTCATTTTATGGAGTAAGATATAAATATTTGTGGTGTCTAGAGTCTGACCTCAGTTAATGATGTTAAATTCTCAGTGGTGGTGGGAAAGATTAATTAAAAAGCTGCATTAAGTGCTACTAGGTTTCTTCTCGATCATGAACATATGGAAGGCAGCCTTATAAAATTCTCGTTGCTACAGATGAGTCTTCATTGGTGATTTTTACATTGTTCTTGTAATAATGTTATTGTATATGTCAGGTGGTGTTACATGAAACATTAGTTAGGTGGAAGTATTTCTGTACTTCCAGATAATTATAGTCTTTTTCCCCCTCAGTGGTGTTTTACAGTCAGTGTGGACAGCATCAATGCAGTGTGTTCACAAATACTGTCAGTTTTTCAATGAAGGAATTTGTAGATTTGTGGACTCACAAGTTGATTTGCTATTTATCCAACTTAACATAATAATGTCAAAGCAGGGAGGTCAGTGAGCGCTGTACCAAATTCCTGTTTTGGGAGCAGATTTTATTACTGAATAAAATGCTACTGAATTCAGTGTTAGGTACAACAGAATAACTGTTATGTTGTGTAGTCCCCATTCAGTAGGGATGAAGGATGACAGGCTTAAGATGGAGTCTGAGTTACTGCTATTGAAAAGTAGGAACACTGCTTTACTGGCTTGTTTACCTTCCTCTGTATTTCAGGTGGCCACTTTCTTTTTCAGGGAATGCTTGTGCTCTGGAATTGTATTCAGAGGTGCTTTTACATACTGTATTTTTTCAGATTCAAACTGTCATATGCTAATTGTTTTACCACATAAATATGGGTAATATACTAATTTTCCTAGATAATTTAATAAAGAAATTATAAGTTAAAGAAATACAGAGTATATAGTAATGCTGTGTGCTTAACAGCCTCTAGATTATGAAGCTATAAACATCTTCAAGTGTTGATTTGAAAAGTAAAGCTGAACTATATTTTTTAATAAGGTACTTGTTCATGTCTTCCTTCAATATATATGGAAGTACCATTTGTACTTCATTTGTGATTCAGAATTGGGTTGAATTTGTATTACAAGCTCAGATACTGAAAGATGAACATGAAATTGTATCACAGAAAGTAATGCTAATTACTTCAGGTTTATTAGTTCTGTGAGGATTTTAACATTTTTCAGCAGGCTAGTATTTTTCTGCTATTTGAGGAATATATAGACTTTGAAATTTTTCATCCCTTAATGAAAGACATTTGTAAAAAGAAGTAGGTTTTTTTTTAAGGAAAGCATCTTCTAACCCAGTTGATTGTATTTAATCATTGCAATTCTGATGTATTTTCTTTTGAGAGAATGGTTCCTTATAGAGTCCCTGGGAAGCATTTCCAGTCTTATGAACTGCTTCGTGCTGTCTGTTTGGCTTTATGTTACATGACGCTATTTTGAAGGTGAAGCTGAATTTGCATGTTACATAATCTGAGAGTCAGTTTGGTGTGGTTTTGTTGTTTTATTAAAAGCTTCACTCTAGCAACAGTCTTTGATTACTGTGATACTGCAGAAAAATGCTTTCGAGATGTTTCAGCATAACTGGAGCCAGCAATAATATTTGAATTAAAGAATGATGAGTGTTTCTCATGTTTGTTCATTTAAAATTCAGTGCTCTTGAAGTGTTAAAGTGACAGTGAGGATGTCAGCGTGACTTTTAAAAGTAGAGACCTTTCTTGAAATGAATATATGTTGACAGGATTGGAAGTCACAGGATTAAAGCTGAGGGCTATCTGGTGGTTTTTAGGCTAAACACTGGCAGTTTTTTTTGTTATTTACTCATTCTTGTGTGTATCTGGAGAAACCGTATGTATTGGTGATACCTTGATGGGGTTACAACAAACACCAGAAATAAAAAATACTTTTTAGAGTATTGATACAAACTTAAAAAGGAGGCAGAGGAAATAATTTTGTCTTTTTCTGATTTTCACTTCCCTGATTCAAAATAAGTAACTATGATAGGGCATACAGTGTACGTTGTCTTA